TTTTTCTTCTGTGCTACCAATAGAGAACCAGTTATTTCAACATATTGAATTTAGTTTGTATGGTGTATTCAGGTATGCAACCCTGTTACCTAGAAATTATGATAATTTTATCTCTTACCTTCCAGTTCTTATATTTCACTTGCTTATTAGAAACAGTCATAATTCTGCAAGCAAAATGACATATGCTAGACACACCGTCTCTCATTCATTAATATCACTTACAAAGTGATCCACATTCAGTCATCTTGAAATGTACATACAAAACCATGATAAATATCCAGTTGGTAAAGACACATTCAGTTTCCTATAATCTCACCTTCTTCACAGCGCCACAATCCCATGGACCCTACATGACATTCCCAACCCCAATGAGCCCATTTCATAATTCCACACAAACATATCAAACCAAACTCTGAAACCACTTACTCCAGTCACATATAGCAGTCTCAAACACAAATCACTCACAGCTAATCATTTGTCAGTTTGTCAGTTTCTTAGAAAGTTAAACGTAAACTTATCAATTACCCAGCAATATTTCTTCTATGTATTTACCCAGGAGAAATGAAAACATGCCAGCTTTATTAAAAAACCTGGAAATACACCAAATGCTCATCAACAGTAAAATGATAAACAAATTGTGGGATATTTGCACAATGGAATGCTGTTCAGAAATAAGAAAATAAAACACACCGTTAATAAATCTCAGAGACATTAGGATGATCTAAAGGAGACATACATAATTCTAGAACTGACCAACTGAAAGACACCGTAGCTAGAAAAACATCTTTGGGGTAACTAAGACCAAGCAGAATGTTTCAGTTAGCCTTTAACTTTGGAACTGATAATCATCAATTCCTTGAGGTTAGCAGAACTGAGAGACTGCCCAGAGACGAAATAACCCGTCTTATGCTGATTTACTTCAGAGGTTGTGCACCTACAATTAAGGACTAAAACTAAGTTTCTTGTTTTTCTTACCCCTCTAATCAGCTGCAAGCAATAGGAGATTTAAGAGAAAGTCAAGACAACCTGACTGGCTGTAAACTCCCGCTCTTACTTAAAGGACAACTGCATTCACGTTAATTAGAAATCCAAGTCAGGTATTTTTATGATGTATGACTAAGGTTAGTATCCTTGAGCTCTCCCTAGGAGATAAAGTCTCCAACCTTTAGGTAACATGAAGGACTTGAAGCTGACCATAGACTCTGTGATGCTCAAGTTTCCAATCCATTAGGGGACCCTGATATTTGACTCAGATCATCTGCTGCTCCCAGATTACACCCTACCCCCAGAACCGGCATCAGAAGTTGTGATGATTTTAGCCTGGTCATCCCCCAGATGCCGGTTATCTGAATAAACCTTCTAATCTTTGCACCAACCTCTGGACTTGTAAGTCGTTTGTTTAAGGTGAGAGGGCAAGCAGAGCCTGGTCTGGCGGTAACGCGACTAAATTATGGTGACAGAAATCAGAACTATGGTTGTCTTCGTTGTAAAAATGACTGGAAAAAGACACCAGAGAACTCATGAGGCAAAACTGACAAAAATCCCCGGTCACCCTCAGGCTCGCGACCATGGACGACACCCTGGGGTCCGGACCGCACAGGCCTGAGTGAAGCGAGACCTCGCCCGACCCAGGCTTCCCGTTCTCGCCTCGGCCCTCCCGGCCGGACTCGGGTACCCACTTCAGGCCTTCTCAGCCCGGGCTTCCGGTTCCTTTTTCGGTTTCCCTCAGACCGGGTTCCGCTTTTCTCCTCGGCGCTCCCCAGCGGAGCCCGCGCTCCGCTCTTCCCCCAGAGCCCTCCCGCGCCCGGACTGCTGGCTCTCTCGTGGGGTGCGAGTGGGGGCGATCCAGGCATCCGCTCCTGTCTTCGGCCAGCCCCTGCCCCGGCTTCCGGTTCCCTCTACCGTCCTCCCTGGCTTTCCGATGACTTCCTCGTTCCCTGCTCCTGTTCCTCGAATTCACGTCGCTCTCAGAGGGCCACCGCCCGCTTCGTCCGCGCTCGAAGGGCCGCCAGCTGCGCCGCCCCGCCGAGGTCGACAGTCTGCGCACCCGGGAGAGGGAGTCTCCGGGGCGTGGCGCGGCTTTAGCGGCGGCCGGCGGGCTCCGCTCGAACATCTGGACATTTTCGGCCTTGGACTACGTTTCCCACAGGCCCCAGGGCGTTCGGTGAACTTCGACCTCTGGCTCCCTTTCCTGTGTTGTGGTTATTGAGCTGCACCTGGTGAGTGGAGGTAACCCAGGTCGGGCAGCTGGCAGTGAGGAGGCCCCACGTTCCCGGTGTGCAGATGAACGACGTGAAGCCGGGACCCTCAGAGCTATGTGCGCGTGAGCTGCGGACGACGATGATCGTTGGTGCCGCTGTTTATGACGGCATCACTGTGGAGTGCGTGTGTGTATGAGAGGGAGGGAGGG